TGTTTGACTATTCATATGTACTCGATATATCAAATCAATTAGGTCAAAAAAAAGTAAGGATAGATTTATATATCCTTGATTTATTAAGAAAAAATTGTTTTAATATTGTTAGCACAGAAACAATATATTCTAGTCTTCTCTTATATTCAATTGTCAAAATTACTTATCTAGAGTTTTTCTATAATCTTATCGTCTGGAATCATGCAACTTTTAATGATGAAGATGTTCACACTATTAATGATATGTTACTCTTCTACGAAAAAGATACAATTGTATTTGTTTGTGATGCAATGATAGAAAATAAAGTCAATAAGAAATTTGAACACTTTGAAACAAAATTTGCAACAAATAATACTTCTTTTTGTTGGACAAAAAATGAAAATACTATTGTTAATTTTCTTAAAGAAAAGTTTTACTATTATTATATAAGGTCTAAAACTTTATTAAAAGATGACAACAGTAAACAGGAATCATCATTCATAAGATTCATAAAAGAAAAAAATAGAGATATCACTTTCATTCATAATTATTATCAAATATGGCTTTGCAACCTTACTAGATCACAATAAAAATGATTTATGAAGAGATATTGAGTTTTTGTGTAAGTACATTCTAATGTACATTTTAATGCAAAGTAACATTCACTAAATTTGTAGCAAATATTAAAAATATCGGCTCTTTTATTGTTTGTTTTCTCGCTTATTTTAAGTAATTAGTTTTTTTAGTTCATTTTTAATATCACTTCTGAACTTGTAAAAAAATGAGATAATCAAATTTCATAAATTAAAAGCAAATACATCCATGTTTGAAGCATTACCAGTAGTTATAATTTTATATTTATATGTGAATCATATTTTATTCAATAAACTATCGAATAAATGAAGATATTTTGGTCTGTTTTATCTGATTGGAAATGTCAAGGTGATTTCAAGGCAAAGACCCATATATTTTTTGATATGAAACGTGATCTATTGTCAGAAAATAGTTCTGTACTCAACTACTCAAAGATTTAGAGTAACCTATGCATTCAATAGTTAATACCCTAACTCTATAACTTTACTTATAACCCTAAAGCAGTAAGAAAAAAAGGTTTAGATACGGTATACTGTATCTTATTTATTTTATTAGATACCAAGTGAATAAAACTTGGAATAAACCCGTAATATAAACAAATTACTCTTTTCACCACTTCAGACGTTTTTTAAATTTGTGGTCAGACTACTTATCATCTTTAATTTGATATATATAAATTTAAATGACAAATTTTTATCTTTAACAAGATCTTCTAGGCTTTTATCAAACTTAATTCTAATTATTAATTTTTCAGTAGTTTCTTGACAAATGGGATCTTTAATAATATCTAGAAGTAAGTTCTTTATTGCTTCTTCAACTTTAGTTTTGGTAGAAAGGATGTTGTGATTCGCATGATTTTGTAGAATAAAATTTAATTACAAGCGAGTTTTGTTAACGCGAAAAAATTCCATCTCGTTATTTATTATTTTAGGTTTGCTATGTTTCATGATTATTTGAGAAATTCATATAGTAATCATTTTAAATAATAAATCAAGTCATTCTAAACTTTTAACGATACTATAAATGTATCCAAGCTATTGATAATCATTATAAAATAGTGTATTTGTATTTAAATATATTGTTTGAATTTGCCAAAACTCAAACTGGTTCCGACTTGATTGACAAATCTGGTTCAATAAATTATTTTCGATCAATAAACGCGTGATTTCGTTTGATTGAAATTGACAAATTTCTCTTAAATGTCTGATGCTATTCTCTAGCTGTCTGTTTTCATTTGTTAACGATTCAATTTTTACACATGCTGAAAGTGTTGAATAATAAATTAGTAAATCATTACATGGGTGATCAAGTTAAGAATATTTACCTTCTTTTAATATTTCAACTTTATTCATCTTACATACTGACAATTGGTCATTGAGTTTTTTAA